CACATTCTCACTTATATTGTTACCAGAGGCCCGATGCATGAAATTCATGCAAGAGTAGGCCTTCCTTTCCCCAGCTGCCAGCACTGGCTTCCCTCTGGCTCCTGGGACCCGGGCTTCCCTCGCAGCCCCAGCTTCGTCCTGAAGGACGTCTGATCTAATTAGCATATTACGCTTTTATTATTATAGTGTTCTTTCTAGTACTTATCCCCATGGTTAAGGCCTCTGCACTTGTGTTTCTTCTACCTGAAATGTTCTTCCTCAGGTCTTCCTGTGGCTAATTCCTTATGGTTTAAGTGTCACCTATCACCTACCTGACCACTCTATTTAATACTGACAGCTTTCTCACTCGCCCCCACCCCACCCGACACAAACATTTTCTATTACTCTATTTTCTACACAGCAATTATCATTTCCTGACATTCCTCTTTATGTGATTACTTATTTAATATCTTCCCCCACCATACTATAAGCTCCTTGAGAACAGGAATCTTGCTTATTTTAAAACATGTTTTTATTGATTTGAGAAAGTGGGGGAGGGAGGAGAGAGAGAGAAAGACAAACATTGATTGTTGATTGCCTCCCGCATGCACCCTGACTGGGGATCAAACCCGTAACCCAGGTAAGTGGGCTTGACTGGGAATCAAACCCACAACCCTTCCATGTGAGGGCCGACACTCTAACCACTGAACACACCAACCAGGGCAGCTCTTGCCTATTTTAAACACTCTTGTATCCTCTGTCTTATTCTAGACAAATAAGCACTGCTCAATGAATACAGCCTACTAAGTTCAAAAACAAAACAAAACAAAACAAACAAAAAAAAAGGGTACCAGCAAAGGAGGAGGGAGTGATTAATCCTTGCTGCAGGAGTAGGATGTGCAGGCAAGAATTAGAAAAGTGTTTACAGGAAAAAAAATGTTTATATTGAGGTTTCCTGATTGCCTCTGGGGAAGGAAACTTAATGGTTGGGAGACAAGGATAGGACAGAAACCTGAATTTTGAACCATGGGAATATATTACCTATTCCAAAAATATTTTAAAGTAAAAAAAACAATAATAAAA